CAACACAGGTCTATCTAGCTGCATCAGGTGGGATTTTTCCCCCTGTGTAGTCAGTGCAGTGGAGTGGTTGGTATTGGAGAACATGACCCTCAAAGTGCTGTATGGAGCAGGTGATAAATAGTGTCCTTGATGTGTTTTAGGGCAGAGGTGGAGTTGCTGCTGCTGTGTTGGGGAAGAGTCTGTTTCTGTTCATGTGTTCTTGGCTGAAATACAACTGACAACTCCATAGGCAGGGAAAGGTGTACAGCAGTTGGAGGGGAAGTTAATGGAAAGGAGTAGAAAAACCATCCCCACTGTGTCCCAGAGTGTAGGCACAGGGTGTTCAGAAAATGGACTTCATCAGCATTATCTAACAATTTTAGGATTTTCTTCCAGAAAGCTAATATCATTTCAGTCAGTTGAAACTGAAAGATTTCCCTGGCCTTAGAAGTTCTGTTGTTTTTATAACAGTTAACACATTTTAGGTATGATGAAATACTTAAAAGATTTCTGTAGGAAAAATAACTGCCAGTTCTTTTTAACCTGCAATCTATAGTGTAATTTTTTTCCTTTCATGAGAATTCTTTGTATTTCTTTTATAGAGGAATTTAAAATGCAGAAAAGATCCTGTCCAAGAATTCAAGTATGAAAAATTGCAGTAATTAGTTGTTGTTTACTTACAATTATTCTTTCTGAAATGTATAATTTTCTAGACCTAGAAATGTGCTTTTGGAATGCCAGAGTTGTACACAAATACATTATTCAGCCTACTCTTCACCAACGGGTTAGCTGTAAGAAGAAATACTCTCCACATCCATGTTGGCATAAAATATGTGCATATGCAAGAGTGTAATGGCTTTAAATGCTTTCCTCATATAACTCAACTGGGGTTTGGTGGAAGCATCAAGGACAAATTTTAACTAATACCTACAGACAGGGCTTCAGCAAACAAAAATTTCGTAAATGTTCTATGATAGAAATAGAAATATAACAGCCTTATAGAAGTAGTTTTAACATCTTTGTGCTGATGGTACCTATTCTGTGTAACAACTCATTTTACAGTAACTCCTTTGGTATTGCTCACAGAACTGGGAAGTCAAGTCAAGCATTTCTGTCTGGTATCATACCTCCCAGTTTCCTTTAATGACCAGTGTAGTGCCTGAGTTCAAAAGACCCTGATGATCAACTCACAGGTTCAATTTTGCCTGTAATTTGTTTTTTTTTCCTATGGCAATGTATTTCAGATACTCCAAAAATCTCTGCCATTCTGGCAGTTGGGATG